TTTTTAAATGTTAAGTAATGTAACATATTTAATTAAAAGCGATGCTGTCTACCACACATCTGTGGGCAAGTTAAGTCTTGTTTCAAGCAGACAGTGTCCCTATAGTAAAAACATAAATTAAGAAAATGGTCATTTAAAATGGTTATAGGGACTATATTAGTCTCCTGGCTTTGTTAAAACCAAACCTGCACCCTTGGATTAGACAACTGTGAAATCTATAAAAAATCTAAAATGCATAAATAATTTTATCATGAAGTATTGCCAAAAAAAATTGTAATATTGCACAGACCTGAAATGTTTCTGGGCCATCTTTTTCTCTTTGTATCAGGAACGTGGATATGTCAGGAGATTTATCCTTCGGTAGAGGTATTGAGCGCAGACGGGAGCTTGTGAGGTCCCAGACTTTACCTCGAAACATTGGAGCCCAGGCTCGCAGGTCCATTTTTGAGAGACTGGACACTGAGAACAACAGGTAATGGAATCAAATGCAAGTTTATGCAACCTTTCTTTCAAGTTCTGAATCACAAAAAAAACTCTTACATTGATCTTCCCAACTAAGTCGACCCAAGCCTGTGGATTCCAAACCAAAGCTGAAACGCTCTCAGAGTTTTGGAGTATCCAGTGCTAGCAGTATCAAGCAGATTCTTCTGGAATGGTGTCGATCCAAGACCATTGGGTACCAGGTAAGACATTCATGCATCATGGGATTTATCTCAAATCAGCAGAAAAAGGGTGCTTTGCACACATATAGTGTATTAAAACTATGGTTTAACAACACTTCCGCCTGATAAGATGAGGATTATCATGCATCACGGGGCTTCCTATACTATTATTTTAAGATTAGCACATTATGACGTGTTATTCTCTCCATTAGCTTTAACGTATCAACTTCATTAGCATCGAAAAGAGAGTGAATGAACATTATGTGTGGTATTAGTGTTCCATATATTCTGCCTGACTCTAGTGCGGCTCTGCAAACCAGCCCATGTGGCTCTAGTTAGAGATAGTAATGTAATGGTCAAGCCTAATTTAAGAGTCAACAGAGAGCAGTACGTAAACATGAGAAGCAGAGCAGACAGCTGACAACATGCATGACTGTTTCCATTTCCCTCAGTGACAGACAATGTCTGAGCCTGTCAGATTTGCCAGCTACGGATGAAAAATGAACACCATTAAATGATGAGGTGTACAGAAAATTCCAGCATATGAAGATAAGAGCCAGAGAAGCTCTGACAGCCACAAGCACGTCTGCAGACTCTCAAAGAAAATTATTATTGTTCTATGCCTCTCGCTTACCCACGGTTTAAGAGAAAATAATGCTAGAAGAACCTTCTTTTTCAAATTTATTGTTATTCATTGTTATTATTCCCTTAAGATTTATTATATTCTTAAATTAAATTGATGAAAAAAATATAAATTCGGCACACTACTTCAAATTAAAATGAATTCAAATGCAAATTAAATGAAAATAAAAATGTTGGCAACTATCTACAAATAAAGTTTAAGTTTTTGATATCTTGTTTTATTCAGTTAATGTTTATTTCATTTCAAGTAATGACAAAAATGCTTTTAATTTGCGTTTTAATTAAATATAATAACCCTATATATATATATATATATATATATAGTTATATTTTATATATTTTTTATTCATATATTTTTTATACAATTATTTTGATGGAAAATTTCAAAAACAGGCCTTTTTTTTGGAATAACATGCACATTTAAGAAAATATATGAAGCCGACTTTGACTTTGTTTTGAAGGGTATGGGAGCAAAACCTCAGTGCGCTGTGAAATATAATAGCTTCACTCTCTCCCATTAATCTGCAGAACATCGACATTCAAAACTTCTCCTCCAGCTGGAGTGACGGCATGGCATTCTGTGCCCTGGTCCACTCTTTCTTCCCCACAGAGTTTGACTACAACGTCCTGTCCCCTGCCGACCGCAAACATAACTTTGAGCTGGCATTCAGCACTGCAGAGTAAGTCACTGGAATGGAGGCAATTCTGTTCAGCCTTTTCACAATCGCATTGAGATGTCAACACACTTCATGGTGCCTTAACCTCTTAAAGTTGAGTAGTTTGTCTTACTGTCATCCCATCAGACACTGAAAAGGTAGATGACCAAGAAAAACAAATACACAATTAACAAGAAAAATTATATATTCACTGCTAAAACATTAACACTTTTATTCAGCAAGGATGCATTAAATTGATCTAAAGTGGCATTTATAATGTTACAAAATATTTCTATTTTAAATCAAATACATGTTTTCTTTTAGCATTGTTTTGACAAAAAATATTAAACAGCACAACTGTTTTCATAATTTTTTATAGTAAGAAATCAGCATATTAGAATGATTTCTAAAGGATCATGTGGCATGGGTGACTGTTGAAATTCTGCTTTGCCAATGCAGGAATAAATGATATATATAGACAGAAAACTGAAAAATAATATTTCACAGTATTACTTTTTACTGTATTTTTGATCAAATACATGCAGCCTTCATAAAGCATAATACTTTTTTTCCAAAAACATTAAAGAAATTTACTGACCCCAACATCAGTATATTTTTTCCATTGTGTTAAAGCGATATTCTGTCATTTTGTACTCAACCTCATATTATTTCAAACCCATAATGACAGTCAAGTTCCAAAATACACAAACATCTGCATAAAAGATTTAAAAAAAACAGGTAATTCTTGTAAAAATCCCCTTTTACATTCTATAGAAAAATACAAATAAATAAAAGTTTGTAATGATATACGGGTGAGCAAATAACGACAGCATATTTATTTTCATTTAAAAGCTCTAATAAAGTATTAAAAGTCTTTAAATAGGAATAGACCGGACAGATGAGATGTGAACTTAGCGTGACCAGACCCAACAAGCTGAACAGAATGATTCCAAAATACAAGCTGACACAAATCATCTGCAGTTGTGCTCCACATCACCTCACAGTACGGCACAGAAGATAAAGTTACTTAGTTTCCGATGCGTCTGAGTCTAGGGTGTCCGTAAAGCGCACTTTAAACCACTAACGCATGCCAACAAATCCCTGTTGAGCTCAAAGGAGCCTCCCCTTCCCCTCGAACGGCTACTCCGACCTGACAGCCCAGCAGCATGACAGCATGCTCCTGCAACTCCTGTGTCCCAATTCCCACATCCTGAAATATTCACATAGGCCTAAAACTGCACTACCAACGTCATCTGAACATATGCATTACACTTATCATATTAACTTTAATAGTCAACGGACATGGAGAACGAATAAAAACAGCCATACACGTCCAGCCCTGTTAAATCTGCTTCTCTGTATTTCCAGGAAGAAGGCTGGCTGCGATAGGCTCATTGAAGTGGAAGACATGATGGTGATGGGAAGAAAGCCAGACCCCATGTGTGTCTTTACTTACGTCCAGTCACTATATAACCACTTGCGCAAGTTTGAGTGAGATCTTGGCCTCTTTAGCGCCAGCTGAACACTGCACTGTTCCCTGCTGGACAAAACTGAACTCTGACATAGTCACTATGGTATGGGGTTGCAAAATGTCTATGGGAACCCACACCATTTCAAGCATGATGCTTCTGCAGTTGCATTTTAGTCAAGAAAAGGTCATCGACTATTTATACAGTCCTTCGAGGCATGGCTTTTGTGTATGGCATGCTCTTTTTAGAATGGTGGCCTCTGATTTATTACTAAACAGCTTGAAGTTAAAGGAATAGTTCAGCCCAAAATGAAAATGCACTTATCTTTATAGGCCATCCATGATGTAGATGAGTTTGTTTCTTTGTTGGAAGTAGATTTGGAGAAATTTACTTCTCCAAATCACTTGCTCACCATTGGATCCTCTGCAGTGAATGGGTGCCGTCAGAAATTAGAGTTCAAACAGCTGATAAAAACACCACAATAATCCACAAGTAATTCACATGAATCCAGGCCATCAAATAACGTCTTATTAAATGAAAAGCTGCATGTTTGTAAGAAACAAATCCATAATTTTTAAATGTTTTTAACTTCAAACCGTTGCTTTCTGCTAAAAATATGAGTCCTCTGTCAAACTGTTGCTTTCTCCAGTGAAAAGGTAATTTTGTCTGAGTCAGGTAAGAAATATGCAATATTAAGCATCGTTTACAAGTGAAAGCAGTTCTAAACAAATATGTTGGTGGATTTTGATGCGAGAGGACAACAGGGGATGGACCTTTTCACCGGAAGGAAGTATTATCATGGATTATGGACTTATTATGGATTATTTTGGCCAAAAGTGATGAAGTCAAGTTAAAATGCCTTGACGGATTTGTTTATCACAAACATGCAGCTTTATGGTGTTACTATAGACTGGAGTCATGTGGATTACTTGTGGATTCTTGTGATGTTTTTATCAGCTGACGGCACCCATTCACTTCACAGGATCCATTGGTAAGCAAGTGATGTAATGCTAAATTTCTCCAAATCTGTTCTGATGAAGAAACAAACTCAAGGGTCGGTATATTTTTGTTTTTGGGCGAACTACTATTTTAATTTCAGTGGATTATAGAGCCATTTTATAGACTGCAAAGATAGAGACATAGAAATCTATTAGTGGATTTCATACTAATGAAAGATAGAAAGAACTAGAAATGTACAGAAAATAAGGTACAATATATCTTTTGTTTTCAAATACACTGGCACATTTTTTTTATAACTGTCTTTTTTTTTCAAATTTTCAGTGGCATAAAAGCATCGTTTCATATGCCACCCTGAGCTACACGTTTCTGGTTGTCTTTTATACTGTGTTTCTGTAGCTTTGCCAAAGCTCAGACACACAGGTGCATGTGCAGGAAGTACAGTAAGCACTGGATCTGCATTATAACCGGAAATGCTATAAACCTGGTTAAACAAATCTGGACTCTCAACAGTGAGCATCACCAGGGAGTGTGATATAATAAATGTTTTTTTTTTCTTTTGAATGCTTTTGAGTCAACTTAGTTTTTGAATGTTTTTTTATTATTTTCTTGTAAAAAAAAAAAGGGAAAAAAACACTTTTCCTTCTTGACATCTTGTGAGTCAGTAACAATCACAATAAACATCAAAGCACAAACCATTTACAATCATGTTTCATAGTTATAAGTGAAACAAGGAATAACACTCCTGTAGAGGACATCCAAATAAATACGAACAAAGATAAACAATACAACATGATCATAATGTACCGCCTAGTGTCTTGAGATCAAAGAAGTGGTTTTCAAAACCACTTAATTGATTAATTAATCTTTCGATTAATTCACAACTGTCTGATTAATTCTAATTTTGGGCATTTTAGTGTAAATGATTCCTTTGTAAAAGCCTTTTGACTGAATATTAGATCAAAACAAATCATTTTGATTTGGAGAAAAACTAAGCAAACAGAAAGCAGTACAGTGAAAAACATTAATGATGACACAAAAAAAAAAAAGGAAATATTGCAATATTGGATGATTTTAGTTGGTATCAGGGCTCTCCAAGTTCTCCCTCCATAGTCCGGACCAGAACATAAAGCTCAGCAAGACCAACAACAGATGCTGCTATCACTGCAGCTATTACTCTCTGAAAGAAAATACATACAGAGACGTTAGAAATATGTGTTCAGTTCCAAAACTAACACTGCACTGATGGTGTGAATGCTGTGCGCACTTACCGCTGTTGTCTCGGTGAAGATATACTGGCTGCCCAGATATGAACAGGCAAATGCTGCAACTACAGTTACCAGGAAGTTGAATACAGTAACAACAACTGCCTTCACGGAACGCACTGCAGAACACAAATGACACGTAAGATGAACAAGACAGATAGGCATTAAAAATGAGAAGAGAAAAGGGAACATCCTGACCTTGTCGTCCAAAATCTGCTAAAGTTCCATGATGATTCATTTCCTGTTGGGCAAAATATAAATATACTGACATGATTTTCAACAACTATAGTGCATGTGTTTGATATAAAGACTGTAGAGGAGTGTTTACCTGTGGATTTACATTCCGTGTTATTCTCTTATATTCTTCATTGGCAAGTTTTGCTTTAATTTTTTCTAAGCGGGCCACCAACTGGGGGTTCTGTTGGGTGGAAATAAATACAATTATCAAGCTTAAAAAAAACAGTGAAAAATATCATTTCTCATATTAATATAAATACAAAGAGTAATGAAATATTCTCACTTACCCTTGGAGGTGCGATAACTTCTGGAAGATGAAGTGTGCTGTCCTCAAACAGTTCATGAAGATACACTGGATGTCCTACAATTACATCACACTCAGCTTGTAATGTGCAATAAGTATCAAAACGTTTATAGAATGTGCACGTTTCTTACCATTTTCTCGAAGAAGCCTGTGTAGTGTTCTCACAGTCTTGAATGGTATGATGGACTGATCTGTCAGAGCCTTCAATTCTTCCTTCAGCTCTTCTGACACGGCGGCGGCGGGTTCTTCCTCCAGCAAATCTCTCGCCTTCTCCCGAAGTCTCTCTCCGATTTTAAACGAAGAAGCCATGATAACAAAGATGCCTGCTAAAGTTCAGAACACCTTAACGTGCGTTTAGTAGTACTGTATATATATCTCTCTCTCAGTAATGTACCAGGTTATGTGAACACTACATAGAAATGTAGCGGAAAGCAAAAAGGAACTTCCTAATTTAATGTATGAAATAGCTACAGCTAGTCAAATTAGCGTCACAAATTATAAAAATGAAAAATAGAAAATATTCCTAACAAAACTTAACTATGTTGTTTCAAGTTAGTTATGTATTTTTATCTTAATTTAAGCATGTTTCCTGTTTACAGCCCTACAGATCAGCTGATTTCTTCTTCAGTGTGTTTATAGGCCCGTTGCAAATCAACTGCACAATCGCACAGCGCCACCTGATGTCAAGGAACATATTCAGCCCTTTAGATTGAGGCGCAAAACAGATTTTTTGTTCAAATGTTTTCTCTTAAATGCAGTTTTTAAAAGGATGCTTTAAAAACAAAGTCAATTATTTCTATAGGATATTTGTTGAATAGATTAGCTTTTGATATATTTTAAGCTCTAGTTCAATAATCAAAAACAAGGGTTTGGATTTACTATATTTCCATTTGTTTATATAATGTTTGGCGAAAATAAAATAAAAGTAATAATTTAATATTCTTATGTTTTATTTTTGGTGACAAATAAAACTAAATAAAACATTTTCTAGACACAGAGAAAAGATGGAGTCAGTATTATGACTTATAAAAACAGTCAAATCCAGTGTCTCCTTACATGACCACAATGCCGAAATAAATGAAAGCATGTTCAGCAAATGTTTTTTTTTATTTGTTTTTTTTAATTGAATGCTTGAAAAACCAATAACAATTGTCATTATTGTCAAATCATAACAATACAACAACAGTCCAGGGTCATTCAGTCTTTCAGTCCAGAGGAAGTGCCAAGTCCTTTAACAAAGCCATTGTTCTTAATGCTTTTAAGAGTGCAGAGAACTCAATAGATTCAAAATATATTTTCATTTCAAGTTTGAATCTTAAAAAAGAGGTTTGCATTTAAAAAATTAACATTTATGAATATGATATTTAGCTAACAGGAAAATAATGTTTATGAAACAAGTATCGCCTTTTTCACATTCATGAACACCAAAAATTACATAAGTAAACTCAAAATTAGGATTCACATAACATTTGATAAAATCAAGAATGTCACACCAAAATTACGTTGTGTAAGAGCAATTCCAGAATAAATATAAAGAGGTTTCAGGGTTTTCTAAACAGAAAGAAACGGTGTTGTAGCCTATTAATATCATTCTTAAGTCTTTTAAGAGAGCACTAAAATCTATGAATTCAACTTAAATGTAATTTCCATTTAGTGACAGGAGATTGGAAAAGAAAAACCTCTAAAAAATGTTCACCAAATGTACCACAAAAGGTTGGCCTATTTCATCTTCACAAATGTAAAGTTACTGATTGTATGCCCAATTTTAGGATTTTTTTTGTATTGATTTGAAATGATTTTATGAATCTCTCTGCTCATCACTTAATAAGAAAGCTGCTAAAACGACTGTATTGATGGAAAAAATATTGACTTTGATGGGTTACCTCCTGTGTATTCTTTGAAGTTGAAATTTTATGTGTAATTTTTCATTGAAGTTATTTTTTATTTTAATTAATTATTTATTTATTTAAACAAAAAAGATGTTTAACTTTTTATTTATTTGTTTTTTTTTCTGTTTATATTTCATTTGTATTATTCTTTATGTATTTATTGTTTTGTATTCTGGTTGTGTATGTATTTTATTGCTTTGACTGTATCCCCTGTGAATGTTATATCTTAAATAAAAATTAAAATAAAAAAAAGGAACAGAACGTTAGCATGACCTATGTGTAATATCGACGTTTTCCGGTCGCAATGCGTTATGGGAAATGGTGTGCCAGTTTGTAATGTCCAATATTGCAATAATAGGGTAAAAACTTAATTAAGTCTAATTTCAGACTCGTGCGTCTGAATATTCCTGAATTTCCTGCGCTTTTAATGTGATTTTTGGGTTTAACATGCATGATATTGATTATGTCCGTGTGTTCATGTGCAGATAGCTAAAGGAAGATGGCAGCGTGTGCAATACGTCGGGGCTTATTGTCCACTGCTAGTAAATATAACCAGCACAAGTGCACTCACAGAATACTGAGTGCAATAGACTTCAGCAGCGGATTAGATCCGAAAAGAGCCCAGCCGTTGTGTTCAGCTTGCAGGTTGTCCAGTTTTCAACAGACGAGGTTCATGGCGTCACGGTAAGAGCTAGTAAAGCCAACGTCCTACCATGTCCTCCTGTTACATAACTGTTGTAGGTATAGTTGCAGCAAACAATGTTGACAGCAGATACCTTTACGATGTATCTGTGAAATGCATTCATGTTTATTAAGAATTTAATATCAGCTGTCACGTGTTTTATATTAGCTGTTGCTATAGTTTGAAGGATTCACATGCTTGCATACCTGCAATACTACTGCCATATTGTTTCAGTGCTCAACTCTGTAGTTATACAGTTCACTTTATTATTATTTTTTAAGTGTCTGGACGCCTGAATCTTGAATCAGATGTGTTGATGACACTATTTTTGAGTTGATTTTAAAATTCCATTGGAATAGGACAGGTACCAAAACACAAAATGAGGCCTATAAGAAGGACAAACCTCAGCCTTGCTTTCAAACCCCCCAAAGCCATTCTTGATTACATAAGTGACAGTCTGGGCCTGAGCCTGAGCCAACAGACTGTAAACAAGTCCTATTTTTGTGGTCAGCATATGTCTGTCTCTTTAGTGCACCATGAAACTTTCAGGTTCGATGTGGTCTGTGTCCAGATCCTTTTTTCATAATGTTGCTAGGTTGTGTAATTCAGTGGTGTCATCCACTATATATAAAAATATATTTTTAAGTATATGTTTCAAAATATATTTCCATAAATATATATTCTACCAATATATTTTGGCCACTTTTTCATATATTTTTGAACAATATTTTAAACATCTATATATGTTAAAAGACATTTCATTCAAGTTACAAATATTTAAAGACATTTTAAATTATATTTTGCTCTCCATATATTTCAATCCAAGAAAATACTTTCACATATGTAACGTTTGAAGAAAAACTTACGTTACAAGGAACATACTTTACAATGTTCAAAAAAATAGCAATATTACAATATATGAAAAAGATTTAATATTATTCAATCATAAAAATCTCAAAGCTATTCCTACTATTTGCCTGTAGGCTATTGTAAGATTGGAAATGTATTTTCTTGCCCCTGAAATATGCTGTATGGGATCCCAGCTATGGGATATTACAATTTACATTTTTTTTAAACTGATTAATTCTTGGCAGAAACAGACCGGAGGGGAAAGTACTAGAGCCTGTTGGAGTATTTGAAGCTCTGAAGCAGCACGGCAAATATGAAACTGGGCAGGTCAGTGATCATTTTAATCACAAAACCCTTCATTCTGATTCCTCCTCTGTCGATATTCTAATTCTGCATGTGCAATCCACAGCTATTCCTGCACAGTGTGTTTGGTTATAGAGGCATTGTGTTATTCCCTTGGCACGCTCGTCTGTATGATCGAGACGTGAGTCCTGCTGCTGCTACTGACAGGTATGTAGTAGAGGATTTTTTTAGGCTTATACCTGATTAAATGATGTAGTCTGTGGTACAGCTCAATGGTCCTGTTTGTCGTGTGCTTTTTCAGCAAGCCAGACTCCACAGGCCATGGCTCAAAGGAAGTGAAGGGCAAAATGCATACTTACTACCAGGTCCTCATAGACACCAGAGACTGCCCTCACATAGTAAGTGGCATCAAATGACATATGCAAATAGTGAATTAATGTAGTGTATGTATGTTTGTCTTGGATGACTTAATGATTTTAGTGCAATCATGAGTCCATTTTTAACCTTAGTGACTGTGTTTTGGTCACCATTAGTCTCAGCGATCTCAGACTGAAGCAGTTACGTTCCTGGCAAATCACGATGATAGCAGGGCCCTGTATGCAATTCCAGGTAACTCTCACAATCAGTCACATAAAGATTTGACTATCCTTAAAGGGATAGTTCACCCAAAAATGAAAATTCTGTCATTAGTTACTCACCCTCATGTCGCTCCAAACCCATAAGAACTTTGTTCATCTTTGGAACACAAATTAAGATATTTTTGATGAAATCCAAGAGTTTTTTGACCCTCCATAGAATAAAGTTGTTATTTTTGTTTTCTTTGTGCACACAAAGTATTCTCGTAGGTTCGTAAAATTAGGGTTGAACTACTGATGTCACATGGACTATTTTAACAATGTCCTTACTACTGTTCTGGGACTGGGAACGTTTCAGTTACATTGTTCTCTATGGAGGGTCAGAGAGCTCTCGAATTTCATCAGAAATATTTTAAATTGTGTTCCAAAGATGACTGAAGGACTTATGGGTTTGGAATGACATGAGGGGGAGTACATATGCAAATAGTGAATTAATGTAGTGTATGTATGTTTGTCTTGGATGACTTAATGATTTTAGTGCAATCATGAGTCCATTTTTAACCTTAGTGACTGTGTTTTGGTCACCATTAGTCTCAGCGATCTCAGACTGAAGCAGTTACGTTCCTGGCAAATCACGATGATAGCAGGGCCCTGTATGCAATTCCAGGTAACTCTCACAATCAGTCACATAAAGATTTGACTATCCTTAAAGGGATAGTTCACCCAAAAATGAAAATTCTGTCATTAGTTACTCACCCTCATGTCGCTCCAAACCCATAAGAACTTTGTTCATCTTTGGAACACAAATTAAGATATTTTTGATGAAATCCAAGAGTTTTTTGACCCTCCATAGAATAAAGTTGTTATTTTTGTTTTCTTTGTGCACACAAAGTATTCTCGTAGGTTCGTAAAATTAGGGTTGAACTACTGATGTCACATGGACTATTTTAACAATGTCCTTACTACTGTTCTGGGACTGGGAACGTTTCAGTTACATTGTTCTCTATGGAGGGTCAGAGAGCTCTCGAATTTCATCAGAAATATTTTAAATTGTGTTCCAAAGATGACTGAAGGACTTATGGGTTGGGAATGACATGAGGGGGAGTAATTAATGACAGAATTTTCATTTTTGGGTGAACTATCCCTTAAATATAGTGGGCAGCATTTTAAAAAAGTTCCATTATCTATTATTTTATTAATTTCTTCCTTGTCTGCTTATGTCTTTCAGGTCTGGATTATGTGAGTCATGAAGACATCCTGCCTTATAACTCCACTGAGCAAGTTCCTATCCAGCATGAGCTGTTTGAACGCTTCCTCATGTTTAACCCCTCCAGAAGTAACTAGTCCACTTATATTTTTGCAGCAGTATTCAAACTTTTACTGATAAAATGTTTCTGATGGACTGCATTTACACTGTTTATTTAGATCCTCCGTTCACTGCAAGAGATACCCTACGGGCCTGGCAGGAGAAGAACCATCCCTGGCTGGAGCTCTCAGATGTGCACCGCGAAACCACAGAGAACATCCGTGTCACTGTTATCCCCTTCTACATGGGCATGAGGGTAAGAATAGAGGGTTGCTATGTGTTGCAACAATTTCTCATTGCAGGTTGCTGTAAATGTACTAAATGTATACATTATTATGTATTATTGACCTTAATCATGGTAGTGCCATAATTAGTTTTTGACAGGAATGAAAAGAGGCTGTGAGGGATAGAAGTACAGTGTGTTCAGTGGAGATGTTTAACAACATACCATTGTTTAGCTGATAAAACCGCTTTCCTAAAATAAAAACTTTCAGAAGCAAAAATGTAACAAAACAGTTTTAAAAGTTATGAGTTGAGGACCTGTAGTATGATATAGGACCTTTATATAATGAGTGCCATTGTAAAGGCTGGAAGACTATCCCTCACAGCCCTGTTTTCATTTGAGTTACATTTAGTCATTTAGCAGACACTTTTATCCAAAGCGACTTACAAATGAGGACAATGGAAGCTATCAAAATCAACAAAAGAGCAATGATACGCAAGTGCTATAACAAGTCTCAGCTTAACGCAGTACACGTTTTTATTGTATAATAAATGTAAAGAAAACGGATAGAATAGAGAAAGAATAGAGCAAGCTAGTGTTAGAGTCCTTTTTTGCTTTTGTTAATATTATAATAAATAAAAAGAAAAGAATAGAGAAGCTAGTGTTAGTGTTTTTAAGAAAACAAGCAGTTAGTAAATGAATAGAGTGCAAGTCTAAAAGGGGAAAGTTTTTTTTTTTTTTAAAGAATAGAATTAGAATAGAGAGTGCTAGAGTTAGAGGGTCAAATAAAGATGGAAGAGATGTTAAAGGCATAGTTCACCCTGAAATGAAAATTCTATCATTAATTACTCAACCTCATGTCGTTCCAAAACAAATGTAACATAAATGTCTCTACTGTCAGTTTTGATCAATTTAATGCATCCTTGCTGAAGAAAAGCAGAATTTATGTATAATTATAATTTATATTTAGAATATGTATGGAAGTGAAGTGAATGTAACTCATAGTCCTGATTCTGACCTGTTTTTGTTTGTCAACAGGAGGCTCAAAACTCCCACGTGTACTGGGTAGGCAAAATTACCTAATTATGTTTTTTATTATAACTCAATAAAATGGTTATATATAGAATGGCCATTGGTGACCTGTTAGAGATAATATGTTGATGTTTTCCTCAGTGGCGGTACTGCATCCGTCTGGAGAACCTGGGCAATGAGGTGGTTCAACTCAGGGAAAGACACTGGAGGATCTTCAGTCTCTCAGGGACTCTGGAAACAGTCCGTGGCAGAGGAGTGGTTGGCAAGGTTATTAATTAGCAAAAGCATAAACCAGAATTAAAGACTATATCGTATCGACCGAAATTAAGAAATATATCGTGATATAAATTTTGGCCATATCGTCCAGCCCTACTATGGAAATATGATTTGTTTGCTGAATGCAATCCATCATTATCTCACCAGGAGCCTGTTTTGTCAAGAGAACAGCCTGCATTTCAATACAGCAGTCATGTTTCACTTCAGGCACCCAGTGGACACATGTGGTGAGATTATCAACATACTCTTACAACCAAGCTAGCTTTACATTTTTTAAAATCATGTAGCCAGGAAATGTGGTCCACCTATTAGACTGGGTGGCTGAATGCTTGTTTTTGGTGTATCTGAATTGATGATGTGGTTTCGCTCTGTTTTGTTGTGTTTTAGTAGTGACGCATGAACATCACGTTTTGTTTTCTTGTTTAGGGGGACATTCTGTTTTGAGAGGACAGATGGCTCACACTTTGACGTGCGCATTCCACCTTTTTCACTAGAGAGCAATAAGTATGACAAAGCTCCCCCTACTGGCTATCCCTTGTAATAAACCTGCACCTATAAGCCTACCATAACGGCTCAGTTCAGCATCCCTATGGGCTGTTCCCTTGGAGATCCATGTTTTACCTTCCTTATCAGTGCTCCTTGAATATACAATGGTTTTTGCAAAGCATATTTCAGTCTCTGACTGCAGCGCTGAATATTTGTAGCAACTGCATATCTTTAAAGGAAAAAAGGAATAGTAAGTTAAAATCAGGAGTTATTAAATGTGATGCAAGTGTGCAATGGGGATGTGATTCTTTCAAACTCTTGCACCTCGAAAGGCCGTATTAAGAAGATTTGAATGTGATTAGTTTTTTTGTTTTTTCTTCTATTTATTTGGACGGCTGTGTTCATCAATTGAATAAGCTTATTAGCGTTAATCAAGCGTATTGTCAATTTATCTTTAAGTTTAAACCCCTCTTATCATCAATTCCTTACTTATATTCTAGAGAAGACAGTCGGTGGACATTCTCCAAATGCAAATAGTCTAATTAATGGCTTGCTGCAAAGTTTATTCTAAGGCCATGCCAAAGTCAGCCAGTGAAATGTGGTTTGACTAAGAAAGCCTAATGGGATAAAACTGTATTCGAGATCATCATCTTGTAACCAACCTTTGATCATATATTTGGGTTAAACTACTGGATGATGAACTGCTTTACTGTTTACTGTAAATATGTTTGTAAAAGCATAAATAAAATGATATTTCCAATTTCCTGTTCTTATTATGATTGATGTGGTATTCCAATAGCTGCTGCTGTTCGCTACAAAGAAATGGCTTGAAATAGGATCAATAAATATGTCAGGTCAGTTACTTAATTCAAATTTTCAATATGATATATTTACCTTAAATAATACTCCATAGTACTTTAAAAGGAATAGTTAACCCAAAAATGAAAATGTACCATCTGACATGTAGAAGAACTCTTTTCTTCATCAGCTCAGATTTGGATAAATTTAGCATTGCATCACTTGTTTACCAATGGATCCTCTGCAGTGAATGGGTGCCAAAAAGTCTAAACAGCTGATAAAAAAACAAAACGGTAATCCACACGACTCCAGACTATCAATTCACATCATGTGAAGCAAAAAGCTGTTAATAAAAAACAAATCCATCATTAAGGTGTTTTAGCATGAAACTGTTGCTTCCAAAGCCAAGTCCTCTGTCCATAACTGCTTTATCAAGTTCCCCCTGAGTCAGTAGAGAAATATGCACAGATTAAGCACCTTTTTACAAACAAAAAGTTCTAAACAAATATTCTGGTGGATTTTGATGTGAGAGGATAACAGGAACTGGACTTTTTCACTGGAGGAAAATATTATGGGGTATGGACTGATATTTTAGCCAAAAGTGACGACTTAAAGGCACAATATGTAAGATTTTTAATTAAAATATCCAAAAACCACTATAACAGTGTTATATATTTTGCTGACTCGTGTACTTGCATTATCCCAAATGTTTCGAAGAATGTTTAAATCCAGAGAAATAAGCAATTTTAACTAGTGACTCGGACCGTTTCCATAGTGTCATTGTGTCGCCTGCCAATGACGTCATAACCCCTCGATTTCCGGTTTTGTTTTGAAGAAAACATGGAAACACCAAAGACGCTTTAATATGCTATGCATTTTATTAGACAGGTGACGACCGCACAGAGTAGTAGTATTATGACAGAACGTTCAAATATATCTAGTATGATAAAACAGCGCTGCTTACTTCCGCTGCTTTCCGGAAGGAGCGGAAGCGGTCGACTGTGGCACAATAAAAGCTCCGCTGCTTTCGAGGCCTGTGTCGCGCTCGTTCAGCGGCCTCATTTCGCTTCGACTGCTTTCAGCCTCATCCTGCTTCATTCTACGACGTTAATAAATCTTTAATACATTAGCTCATCCATGAACATGATTTCTGCCCGAGTCCCATCGGATTGCTTCGGCTGTGGGGATGAAGATGACAACTCCCATGATTCCACACCCAGTCACGGTGTCATCAAACTACGCCTTTGTTTGTTTTGAATACGCGCCCTCTATTGGCAAAAAATTACATATTGTGCCTTTAAAGTTGAAATGCCTTTATGATGGATTTGTTTCTTACAAACACACAGCTTTTCGCTTCACAAGACGTAAATTGATTATTATATGAGCCATGTGGATTATTGTGACATTTTCATCAGATGTTTGGACCCTCAATCAAGGATTCACCAAATCTGTTCTGATGTAGAAACCAACTCATCTACATTTTGAATGGCTTGAGCTTGAGCACAGTCAGTAGATTTTCATTTTGGGTGAACTGTTGCTTTAAGAGTTTTATTACTTTTTTCAATTCCAAATTTTCGTCTAAGAACAAAAAAATTGCAGCAGATGACATGCCATGTGTTAAACACCAGATGTCAGCAAAGAAAGGCCAACTATTAACGTAGCGCACAAGTCAATGATAAAAAATAACTTGAGGAGAATCTATGACTACGCATATACTGGGGGGATATGGGATTGCCCATACGTGTGAATGATTCTTTCATTTCCTTTAAAGTACTGAAATGCCTCCTGTAGTGCAGAACTGGAGCAGTCCCAATAGCGACCATCTGCTCCACTTGGTTAACTGTACCAAGGCAGTGGTGCATTCTCGACTATAGATTGAAACACAAGTGGAGGATGTTGCAGACCGCTCCACCCCTCCCACACAGCCTGTGTCGAGACCCAGCGCCTCTCCGCTCCATCTAAGTGATGAGAGACCGTTCAGTCGCTCTACTCTGAACACACACTACCCTCAGAGGGGACACACCTGGGGAGAGGTCATATCAGAGCGGGAATTAATTCGACATGGCACATTTCAGCAGAGAACTGTGATATTTCTGCGGTCTGCGTGGAAGAAAACACTGGAATGACTTGTGCGCGGAGGAAAACAGTGACGGACGACGTAAATATTTACATGCCCTTGTTCACAGCAGTACTGCTCGCTGTCGACTAAACTCACACTGGAACCTACATCGTGTGCCTTTGAGAGACTGAGGAGGAACTGCGATGTTAACACGTACAAACAACGACTGAAATAAAAATACGGGCGGGAAACGAAACATCCTGCCGTAAGATCGTGCTAGAATTCTGTTGAACCGGACTGTGAGAGTTTCTGGAGGTTTGCGAGACTGCTCTTCTCTGCGGTCATGCCGCAGGCGTCATCAGATCTATTCCCTACCTGAGGGAATCGAGGATTACTGGTGTTTTGGCAGAAGATATTAATTATGACCTAATTGGACTGAAATACAAGAAGTTTGGAATGTAACACGCTGTGTTTTAGATGTTTTGCCGCCTTATAAAATTCCAAAATAATTTTGCGCGTGCAAACGGAGGATTCTAAAGAGTAAACTGACGTTACACGAGTCAGCTGTGAATGATATAAAAGTTCAACGTTTTGTAAACTACAATTTTGGTGGGAAATTGGATGAGAAATGTACGCAGTGGAGTCAACTTTTTAAGTAATTTTATGAGCGTAATCGCTTCGTACCGCGTAACCCAAACGGTCGTTTTGCGCTCCTTGTGCAAGGAGGGTTTGTATATAAACCCTCAAGACGTTTTAAACAAAACACAAGTATTTTTGTGAGATATTTGTGATGTGTTTATACATGGTAATGTGATAAATAACGACAGTAAAGTGTTTTATTGATGCACCGCCCGATACAAACATCATGAGCAGCTGTTGCTATGGTTACCTACGCAGAAGCGATTTCTGTTCGCGTACGTAAATTTTGTGGTTACTGAAACGTTATTCGAACGCTGTTGAAACATATAAATGCTTATGTAAAAATCAATTTCTAAGACCCCCAACTTTAATTTGGGGTATTCATGCCTTAATTAGGGGGTCGTAAACCCCCCCCCTCAAACCTCCCTTATATTTCACACCCTGTGAATGAGCACTTTGTGAAACAGATTTTACTGAAATGCCATTCGATGCAAGTTTTTGTAATTTTATTATATAAATTCACATCTTAATGTAAGTATATTTTCTCTGTCAGCTTAGAGATGACAGGTGTAAGGTGAGCAGAAGGGCTTTTAAAACACTGTTCTCCAATAAACTTTATAGGAACACTTATTTCTTATTTTCATTTGTTTCTTACAAAATTTAATCTCGCGTACAATTAAAAGACTTTTAATAGTTAAATGTGAATTCATTTTGAAAGTATGCCCAGTCTGGAGGCCCTTTTCCAGGGTGAGACTCTATAACCAAACATGGGAGCGAAGCAAACGAAGGCCGCGGGACAGGAGGCAGGAGCGAGTCCTCAGAGCACAGGATGGAAACGGACCCCAACGAAAGAGCGAGGAGACATCCTTACTTCTATAATGTTGAAGTCAGGAGACAAACTGAGGAGCAGTGGGACTCCTCCTCCTTACCAGCGGCGCATCAGGATGATACAAGAGATGATGCTGATGGCAAAGCAGGGGAAACACGATGAGGCGACAGAGATGCTGAAGACTCTCCGGCAGGTAAATACCACTCCATGATTCTTGAATAGATTAGGTTAAAACTCAAATAGAGGTAGAAAGTTGTCAGAGTTCTCTCTCTAATGAGTTCTTGTCCACCACAAGTTGATTGTCAGCTCTGTTATCCATTTGTGTACCTGTCAACTTTTCCTCAATTTCGTAAACAGCACTTGAAGAGCTTTTATTGTGGCAAATATTGTCCTGCAAAGCTCTGGGGCACCAGTCTTTTTTGGAGGCTCCCTGTGGTAGTAGTGAGATGTAATGTCCAAATGGCAAGAAATCAGATCACAAATAAGAAATTATGTTGCAGCTTTTTGTTTGCATATGTCAGGCCACCTTGGGCTTCTCAGCTAGTAAACAGAGGCCCCAAAGCATTGGACTCATTGGCCTGATTTGTAATCTGTGGCCCATGCAGAAACCCCACTTTGCTTTACAGCAGAAAGAATCATATGTTGCAATTGGGCCAAAATGTCAGTCCTATATTGGGTTGGTGTTATTTTGAAAGCTGTTGAAAGACATAAACTCTTCCTCCAAAACGCATCATTACTGTCAGTGCTGATGCAGACATATCTGAGATACAGCAAGACTCCTGCAATAGTTTCCCAGCTCTATAGATTCTGCATTTCACAGAATTCAGTGCTATTGAGACAGATGCCCATTTTACAGTCCTGTGAACCTGTGAGAACAGACACCGCTCAAGCTGGCTGAAGAGTAATACTGCACTGCATAAACACCAACTGTTTACTTTGGGTAGTGATTGGATGCTGTCAGTAAGCGCAGTGCTCTGCTTTATATCAAATGGTTGTCTCAGATAGCTACTCTGACTCTGTTTGATGGGTATATGCGGCCAGAACTCTTGCCCCATTACTATTTTTTGATCCAGCTTTCCTCAAGAGAAACGATCATCTTATGTCCTGGAAGGTCATTTTAGCAGGTCTGCTGCACTTTGCTTCTGTGGAGGATTTTCTGCATATGGGCAGCAGGGATCAAAGACAGAGTTAATAGGGATTTCTAATCCCCCATAGGTAGTAGTATTAAATTAATTGTCGGGCAGTGACGAAGCAACAGCTGGCTGCGGAACAAACTGCAGGATTTGTTCTCAAAAGGACCTTGTGAAAACACTTATGGAAATAATATAGGCTACTTTAAAAGAAGATACTTAAGTGCAAACGAATATAATGTTTTTTGACACTTTTTTGCATGTTATTTACAATCAAATGAACGTGTATTATAGTTTAAATGAATATTGAATGCAATTAATTAATAACTTATGTTTTTTGACCCACTCTTTAGTTTACCATTATGCTTGATAGTAAATTAGTACAACTTACTATATGGTAAATTTACAATTTGGTACATTTAAATTATATAAACTTTAAATTTAATATCAAATAACACACTTAATTATATTTAAAATTATAATCAAGTACTTTACATGTGCTATATTGTTTTTCAACACATCAAAATAAGGGACTTCTTTAAAAATGTAATGATTTAAAATGAACTTTACAGCTTTTAATTAGAGATTATTACAAAGTGCACTTTAAAAGTGTGTTAAGAAACATGAAATTTACCCTCTTTAAGTACACTTAAGTGGCCTTTTATTTGATTAATATTACATTTCCATTACATTAACATTGCATTTCCAAGTACAGTTTCTTTAAAAATATACCTTTACGATTTGAAGTACACAATTATGTGCACTTCTTTTTCACAAGGGGCAGATTTTTACCCCAAGTAAATGTGAGATATTTGCTGAAATGCATTTGCAGTGTATCCTGCAATGGGGGTTAAAGCACATAATGAGCAAGAGAGTCAAAGGACAGCGTCTCTTGTCCACTGGTTACCAAGTGCACCTTGTTGCCCGGAAACCATGAAAATGGATGGGCCTTTGATTAAATGGAAATTGATTAATCAAGATTCTGCTCCATAGAGGGAGGATAATGATAAACCAAGGCTTATGCTCAGCATGCACAGTTTAGGTCCAGGGTTTTATCGATGGAGGGAGAGAAATTCAATAGTAAGTTTATAGTGACATTAAAATTATTCAGCCTTTTTCCTTAACAAAGACTAACCTTATTCACTTTGTCAAACTAATGACGATTTGTTTCATTCACACCCACCCATTTCCCGTTGGTTCGCTGTTGATTATTTAGCTCTGGCTGTAGAGCCCTCACCCCCACACACATTTGCAATTTTTTAAATTGCTGATCCCCCTGCCTGCCCTTTTCCTTTACAGATTTGATCATGTAGATTAACTTTTCCATCAGTTTAGCTTGTTTTACACAGTTAAAGGATTTGTTTTCTATTTTTCTGTGCTAAATAGACAACAAAGTCTTTTCACTTTCTAGGCCCACATTTTGACATTTCATTTAAATGATTTCAGGAACACTAAACATCATCATTAGGAAGCGTATATAAATGTTACATGCACATTTACATTTATGTGAATGTAAATATTTATTACAAATAAAAAGCTTCATAGATGACATTAGAATTTCAAAATAAGGAAATAAGCTTTATAGGTAAAGTTTACCCAAAAATGAAAATTTGCTCAAAATGTACTCACACGCAGACAATGCAAGATGTACATGAGTTTGTTTATTCATCAGAACAGATTTAGAGAAATTTCACATTACATCACTAGCTCATCAATGGATCCTTTGCAGTGAATGGGTGCCGTCAGAATGAGAGTCCAAACAGCTGATAAAAACATCACAGAAATCCACAAATAATCCACACGACTCCAGTCCATCAGTTAACTTCTTTAATGGATGTGAGAGGACAAGGGATGCACTTTTTCACTAGGGGAAGCGTTATTATGGATTGTGGACTCATTTTTTTGGCCAGAAGCAACAGTTTAAAGTTAAAAAGTCTTAATGATGAATTTGTTTATCACAAACATGCAGCTTTTCACTTCCCAATACTTTAAGTGATAGAGACATGTGGATTACTTGTGGATTATTGTGATGTTTTTATCAGCTGTTTGGACGCTCATTCTGACGGCACCCATTGACTACAAAGAATCCACTGGTGAGCAAGTTATGTGATGCTAAATTTCTCCAAATGTGTTCTGATGAACAAACAATCTCATCTACATCTTGAATGGCCTCAGGGTGAGTAATTTTCATTTTGGGTGTACTATTCCTTTAAGTGTGATCTGCTGCTGTAGTCTGTAGTTCTCATTCTCTTGACCTCCCTGTATTGTGTATTTTTTCCAGGATCTGGGAATGGAGTCAACCTCTCTGGACGATGTTCTCTACCGCTATGCCAGTTTCCGCAACCTGGTGGATCCCATTACCCATGACCTCATTATCAGCCTGGCCAAATATATTCACTGCCCAAAGACGGTAAAGTGCTTCTGTGATTCGTGACATGCACACACCTAAACACACGCACACACACACACTTCTGTTTCCCATTTCTGTTCTATTTCTGTACATTTCTCCTATGTTGTGTTACGTTAATATTTAATGAAAAGTGCCTTATAGCAGTGCCTGGACGGCACAGCAGATAGACGTGCAGAATGAAACTGTATCATTCCAGTGCAGTGAGCATTAGGATGAAACCCAGTTGCTTAAGCATGTGTGAGTCTCTGTGTGAGGCAGAAGCAGAGATGAAGGGAGCGGAGAGGGTAGAGGCAGAGGGAGGTGTTTTGCCGGATGAGTCACACACACACTAAAGACCAGTCCCTCTTTCAAGACTGCTGCTGCTGCTGCACTTAATGAAGCAAGTCAGGCACTATATCACACCACTAACACCCTGCTCAGCTCCTATAGAGAGCTGCACAAACACCTGATCCTCCACCAAAACAACAAGCATGCTGCCGATTGTTTTCTTTACACTGAGCTTATCACATCTTCTCTAACAAAATGTGGTTGTGTAAGTCTCATGAAATCTGTCAAGAAAATGGTTTTATTTCACCCCAAAATCAAAAGAAAGAAATAAGAAATGATAGTTTGCTTAAAGAAAATGAAGTCTTAAGATTTTTTGTGTCGTGTTGTTATTTTTATGTAAATTGAGAGCACTTCCTCTCTCAGTGCTCGTTGTCAGAATGCAAAAACAATTTATTCTCATTAACATAATAGGAAAAAAATAGAGAATTTATGTAGGTTATTATTATATTACTGTATGTATTGTAGATAATTTTTTTACTTTATATTCATCAAAGTATTCTGTAAAAACATAAAATATTAAAATATTAATGAGCACAACCGTTTCCAACAATGATAATAATAGGAAATGTTTCTTGAGCAACAAATCAGCATAAATTGATTTCTGAAGTATCATGTGACACTGACGTCTGAAGTAATGGCTGCTGAAAATTCAGGTTACACTTTATTTTAAGGACCAATTCTCACTATTAACTAGTTGCTTATTATTATCATAGATATTACTAGCATATTGGCTGTTTATTACTACTTATAAACCACATACTAATGCCTTATTCTGTATGACCATATTTTAGATCCCTTTAAGTTTAACTATTAATAAGCAGCAAATTAGAAGTTTACTGAGGGAAATCTCTTAGTTAATAGAGAATATGTGTTCCCTATTCTAAATTGTTACCAAAATTCAACTAAATTTATATATTTACACAAAAATGTATCATTTATTTACTTATCTTTTTTTTTTTTTTTTACTTTCTTTTGATTTTATGGTGAAATATGACCTGGACCTCCATCCATTTTTCAAACCATATGAGAGGGCTGGAGCCTATCCCAGCATCTCAGGCAACAGGCAGGGAAACACCCTTAACAGATGGCCAGTCCATGACCTGCATATTATTGAGCATATTAGTGAGAACCAGCCTTAGAAACATGCATATGCAATAACTTTAACTAAGCAGACATAATGAAATTTCAACTAAAAGTGGGGAGAGTGAGAGTTCACACAAGAGCGTAAGGTGACATTTTCTCTAAGTGATGTTATTGCAAGTAGCAATGGAGGAAGACAAAGTAGAGATGAGTTCAGTAATGTGACGAAAGGAAAGCTGTGCTGTCTGTTACACTCTCAGAGCTGTCAGAGCCCGCTGGGTGAATGATTACATTGCCAGGGGACCCACTGTCTGTCTGCAGGAGGGTGCGCACTAGAGCTGACCAGCCATGTGGCACTGTTAATCTCACCATCAGCACCCACTAGGCTTTACTAACACATAGGGTGTTTTCCAGACATCTCAGTATCCACAGACATAGTTCTATCTCTCATCCCCTTCAGAGGTCAAGGCCTGGTGCAGCGGGGAGATGTGATGGCCGGATTGATATATATATTGATGTTTCCAGTTCAGATACAGACACCTGAGCACAGACAATGTGTCCTTGATGAAATGCTATGTTACTGTTAGCTTGGATTCCTGATAAAAACAAATTTCATTTGGCCCAGGGTAAGACCTATAAAAATGTGGTCAGTGGTCCCGATCCTGTGAATTTTATAGCCGACTCTGCGTGTTGAGGCATTTTTGTAGGTTTTAGTTGGAGCCACAGATGAGACAAGTGTTAGTACCTGAAACTAATCTAGTCATGTATGAGCAGTGCCCTCTCATTCACTCAAGTGCACTGAACCTCATTATTACCTGAAGCAAATCAATGTAATTCCAGTAATAAACCTCTGTACATTTCACTTGTGATTAACGTGACCAGACAAATTTACTGTTAATGGACAATAAAAAAAAATCTCATAAACAGGAATTCACCTTTGCAGCTCATAATAATGAATTGAAATATGCTCCGTTATTTTATACTATTTAAGTATTTTAATATTTTGAATACATTTTTTTAAAGATTTTATTTTTGGCATTTTGCCTTTATTAAGATATGTGACCCTGGACCACAAAACCAGTCTTAAGTAGCATGGGTATATTCGTAGCAATAGCCAAAGATACATTGGGTCAAAATTATCGATTTTTCTTTTATGCCAAAAATCAGGGCTGGATTGGTAGTCGGGCATACCGGGCATTTTCCCGGTGGGCCGACGCACTTAAGGGGCCGACAAAATGTTTTTTTTTTTGCCAAGGACCATCACGCAGGGACAGCGAGCAGCCAGTGGCCAATTGGATTGTCTCCTGTATAGACAGCGTAAACCATCCAATCACAATGCGCTATAGCCGGAGCGATGAAGTATTTTGCTCCGCCTATATAAAGATCGCTTCACTCCAACTTCTTCCTCGTCGGGTTTTCCCACGTTTTCACAGCAGATTTATCAAGAACAGGCTTGCTCTGCGGTGAGTGATGCTGGCGAAAGAGCCAGGCAGGAGGAGGAGAGGAAAGTAGTTGAATCGGTAAAGTGCTTGATAGGGACTCGCAACGGAGGCAGACATCTAACCTATCCTAATGTGTGTGCGCGCCATGAGTGTATAAGTAAACACTTTTTAATAAAATGTAAATTCGTCCCCCGCGCCTTTTTAGTCAAGTCAAGTGTGTTCATAGAGGTTTCCATGGGCCAATGCGAATAAATCTAGATTTAAATAAAAAAAGACACGATATTGTCGGACCTGACGTTTTATTCTTATCCAAAACAACTAGATGTGATATGAGTGTGATACATACATTACCTATAGTAAAAATATTTCACAATATTACTGCTTTTGCTGTATTTTGGATCAAATAAATGCAGGCTTGGTGAGCAGAGGAGACATCTTTAAAAAGCATTAAAAATCTTACTGTTCAAAAAAGTTTGACTGGTAGTGTATAGGCCTATCATATATATATTTTAATTAATCCAAAATGCCGCTGCAAGATTAATCTTTAATGAGCCGAAAAGAACGCATGTCACACCTCTGTTTATCAGT